TATTTCTCATATTTATAGTCCTCTCAATTTTTCGTTTTGTTTATTTTTTCATAAGTGTGGACATAATTTTAAGCTGTATTATAACTGTTAATTCTGTATTTACCCTCACTATACTATATCAACAGAACATTAGACCCAAAATCTATAACATGCTAAAGTTCCCAAACTTAATCGACAATACCGTTTGAAACAAACTCTCTGTTATCATTATTATATCTAATAATAATGTCGTAAATGTGGACAAATTCCTCCGATTAATTTTGTTTTAATTTTTAATTTTATATATATTTTGAGTAAATCAGATGCAATATTGTGACAAATGCTGAGAATTCCATTCTGTATTATAAGTTTTGTTTTTGGAATAAAGTAAATTATTATTATCATTATCTCGAAGTGTTACGTAGAAGAAACGGCCATTGGACCGCTGTCTGCCGACGAAATAAATCGTCACAAGTCCCCGGCGCCTGGGTTTCTCGAAATATTCTTCCCCCATGTTAGCGCATGACAGAAAAGAAGACAATGTCGAAAACTGCTTCAATAGATATAATGGTACAAGTAAGCATTACAGCGATTAGCTGACATTCTAGATATCCGTGAACGATGCCGTTAACATGAACTTACGGAACGGATTGCTTGTCTCTGCGTGGGTAATGATGATTACTGGCACAGTAGGACAACAATCTCATGTTTTAACTTCTGCACCCATGAACGCCTGGTACTTTTTAAAAATATGTACAGCCTCAATTTTTAACTTCCCATAGATGTAGTCAGCTATTTCGGCAATTTTATCGATTTTATCATCTCAAAAAGCGAGAATTTATCGGGTGTTTCACAGCCGTCGTATCAGCTAGATTTGATAAACATGTAACTTATCAATTTGTTGGGCTGCTACGGAGCCTCACATGTGCCGAATGATTTGAGAAATGGCTTTGCCATGTAATTCAATTGGCGTATTTGTAGTGAAGCAGTGTGGAACTCGAGCAAACCGAACATGAGGATCTTTGGGCTTAAAACCAGGCACGTCAAATCACTTACAAGACATTATTATTCATGAGAAAAAGGAATATAAAATAGAGAAACGTACACAAGTAAAAAACTCATAACACAAAATATCATAATAATGATGCGTGCCAAAAAATACACTAAGTTCAAATTAAGTAATGTACCTTACGCTAAGACAGTTAGATTATATATAACCTGCAAAGAGTGTTTCGAAACGTCCGACTCACCACTTGACGAGTACTGTATCTGACCTTGATCTATATTTTTAACACATTCACCTCGGATTTTTTCCTTTTTCAATTCACGTTGTCACATTCTGACATTATATTTATTTTATTTCACTCATAAAACTCATCTTTTTGAATGAAAAGGCTTGCCTTATTTACTTATTATTATTATTGTTCCCTTGGGTTCCTAGTGGAACATAGGGCTTCAACTGCACGTCTCCACTTGCTTCTGTCTTCTGCTGTTCTTTTCACTTGCGTCCATGTTATTCCATACTGTTTCATCTCCTCCTCACACGATCTCCTGCATGTCACCCTTGGACGTCCCACTCGCCGCTTCCCTTTCGGGTTCCACTCGAGGGCTTGACGCGCGATGTCACTCAACGGCCTCCTCAGCGAGTGTCCAATCCATCTCCACTTCCTCCTGCATATTTGTTGGGCGATTGGTTCCTGTTTCGTTTGTTCCCATAGCTTCTTGTTTGTGATTCTTTCTGGCCATCTAATCTTCAGTATGGAGCGAAGACAGTTGTTGATAAAGGTCTGCAACCTGTTGAAAATATTCTTGGTGACCCGCCAAGTTTCTGATCCGTAAAGCAAAATTGACTTGACGTTTGTATTGAAAATCCGAATTTTGTTGTTGATGGTGAGTGACGAAGATTTCCAGATTGGTTTCAGGTTGATGAATGTGTTTCTCGCCTTCCCGATTCTCGATTTGACATCCTCGTCCGTTCCTCCTGTGGTTGAGACAATGCTCCCAAGATAAGTGAAAGAAGTAACCTCTTTCAAATCCCTCCCGTTGATGGTGATTGGTACTGGATGTTGCTGTTGTTGTTGTTGGTTGGTTGGTTATTTTCATAACCTCCGTCTTGTCTATGTTCACCTGCAGTCCTGTCTTTGCTGCTTCTTCGACCAGTTTGTCGGTTTTTGCTTGTAAGTCTTCGATTTTGTGTGACATCAAACATAAATCATCCACGCGCGAAATCCAGGTCTTCTAGGCTCTTCACGTCGGTCCAGGATATCCCTGTCTTCTCATTTCCCACTGTCTGACGCATAATCCAGTCCACCACAATTAGGAATATCATTGGTGATAATAAGCACCCTTGTCTGACTCCTGTGTTTACTCCAAACGCTTCGCTGAGTTTTCCGTTGTGGATCACTTGACATGTGCCGTTGTCGTACAGTTGTTGAATAAGGTTGATGAATATTTGCGGTACGCCGTAGTACTCGAGTAGTTTCCAAATTACTTCGCGGTCAACGCTGTCGAAGGCCTTCTCAAAGTGTACAAAGTTGAGGTCGAGGTTTGATTGCCATTCCATGCTTTGTTCGATGGTGATGCGTAGAGTTGCAGTTTGGTCAGAACATGATTTGCCTTTCCTGAATCCAGGTTGTTCTGGTCGGAGTTCTGTATCCAGCGCGTCCTTGATTCTCTCCAGGATGATGCGACTCAGGATTTTACTTGGCGTCGACAGGAGCATGATTCCTCGCCAGTTCTTGCAGAGTCCCAGGTCGCCCTTCTTTGGTAGTTTCACCAGGTAACCTTTCTTCCAGTCAGTAGGCACCTTTCCCTCTTTCCAGACCTTTTGCAATAATGGAGTCAGCATATCTGCCGTCGTTTCTGGGTCCGCTTTCAGTGCTTCCGGGGGTATTCTATCTGGTCCAGCTGCTTTTCCAGCTTTCAGAAGCTTGATTGCATTCATGACTTCAGTTTTCGTTGGAGGATTGGTGTCAACTTGCAGTTGTGTACGTGCTGTTGTTGGTATTACTGGACGGGTTGTAGGTGGTGGTCGGTTCAAGAGTCCTTTGAAGTGGTCCGCCCATTGTTTAATCTGTCTTTCTTCTTTGGTAATTGGGTTCCCTTGGCTGTCTTTTATAGGTTTCACTTGTGTTGATCTCTTCCCGGATAGAGACTTGGTTATCTGATATAGTGTCCTCAGGTCCCTTTTGCCTGCTGCATTCTCAGCTTCAGTAGCCAGGTTGTCGTAGAATCGTCTTTTGTCCTTCCTGGCACTCTTCTTCACTTCTTTGTCCAGTGCTGTGTAAGTTGAGTTCAGCGTCTCTTTCTCTTGTCCATCTTTGCATTGAATCACTTTCTCTTTCACCATTCTCCTCTCCTCTATTAGCTTCCAAGTGTCTGTTGAGAGCCATTCCTTGTCTTGTTTCTTCTTTCTTCCTAAAACCGTTGAGCACGTTTCGTTGAAAATTACCTTCAGAGAGTTCCAATGGTCTTCCACGGATGATTCCTCAGTGGTGCCACGTAGTGTTTCCTGCTTTGCTCTGACAGCTGCAGTGAAAATGTCCTGTGTGATTGTGTCCTTCAGTTTGTGAGTGTTGAACTTGCATTGTGGCCTATCCCCAGGTATCCTCGAGGCTTTCAGCTTCACCTTGAAAGTCCCTTGTACTAGATAGTGGTCTGAACCCACATCTGCTCCTCTCCTCGATCTTGTGTCCAGTAGGCTCCGTCTCCACTTCCTTGAGATTGAAATGAAGTCTATCTGGTTTTTGGTGTGTCCATCTGGTGAAATCCATGTTGCCTTGTGTATATCCCTGTTTTTGAACACACTGCCACCAATCACCAAATCATTGAAGGCGCAGAAGTCTGAGAAGAGTTCACCATTTTCGTTCATTTCACCGAGGGCTTCACGACCCATGGTGAGTTTTCTTCCTGTATTGTCTCCTCCCAGTTTCGCATTCATGTCGCCCATCAGGATTTTGATATCGCTCTTTGGGACGTTGTCCATTACTGTTTGTAGTTGACTGTAGAAATCCTCCTTCTTCTCATGTTCTGAGGCGTTTGTAGGCGCGTAGCACTGAATGATTGTAACCTTTTTTCCTTTTGATTTGAACCTGGCTGTCATTATCCTGGAGGAGATTGGTTCCCACTGCATGAGAGCTTTAGCCGCTGTTGGTGACATCATGATGGCTACTCCTTCGGTGTGCTCGTGATTGTCCTCTGGGTGACCGGAGTAGATTATTGTCTCTCCAGTTGATAGTTGGCTCCTTCCACATCCGTTCCATCTGCTCTCGCAGATTCCCAACACTTCTATTCTATATCTCCTCATTTCTGCGGCTACCTGAGCAGCCTTCCCAGTTTCGTACATTGTACGAACATTCCACGTCCCCATCCTTATTTTCGCTTTCATCGAAAGAAGGCACATCGGCTGACTGTCTTCCCGAAGGCTTTCACCAGCCCGCGTCATTTCACTTCCCCGATTCCAGCGAAAAATAAGGTTATTTTTTGTGTTTTTAGAATTTTTAATATATTTGTGCGTTGAAGTTTTAGTAGCAATTTGGTTAAGTTTTGGGGGTGGAGTTGCTAGCACCACGCCCCAACCCTCCGTCTTTATCCGGGCTTGGGACCAGCTAGAATACTAGTGACCTAGTAATCTAGGCGACGTTGCCTTATTTACTAACTTATTATATTTTATTGGTAACAGTGATGCCGTCAGAAAATGTACTTAGTCTCCACTCAGTCCGTTGAAATAGATATTGGTTTCCTATTTATCCATTCATATATCCAATCAGTTTGTTATTCATGAAAATAAACGAACTTAGGAAGTTGAGTAACATGATGTTGTAATGAGCAATAAGTTGTGATCGAAACGTCATCGGTAACTAACACTGCATGAAAAGTGAGATTTTATCAAATAAATTTCGTCTATAATGGAATAATACTCTGCAACCTGCCTAAGTTCTTATCCTAAACAAAAAATTCAATGTTCAATTGTGCCACGAAAAATATACAAGACGTGTGCGCAGAATTATTTTTGTACGAATATAATATGGGCAAATGAATTTATTACATAAGCGTTTGATTATATTTCATAGGTCATCACGTGCTTTTTAGGCGCATGTTACAAACTTAGTGTTACCTGACAACTTCTAAACTCATGGAGGATGGAAAGTCATCTAAAGGGATACTAAAAAAGTCGTCAGTTGAACAGCGTCAGAAAAGTTTTCAGTGGGATGAATCAAACATTTTGGCCACCTATCATCCTGCAGACAAAACTTACGGTCATATGAAAATCGAAGAACCGAAAACGCCGTACGTTTTTGAATCAGAAGATAATGTCGGGAAACCGTCTTTTTCCCCAGAGGACTTGGCAGCTCGTTTAGCTGCTACTGTTGAAGATCCTGAAAAACAACTGGTAAGTGTGTTTTAAATATCAGAAAGTGTGCAGGACTTAAAACAATCACATCATTATGTGTTTGCTTTACTTTGCCTATTGTGTTTCACAGTTAGTGAATTAAGACAAGTGTACTTAGCGTATTCGCCTTTTATCAAAAGTGTAAATAAATATAAAGTTCATTTATGTGCGATTGAACTTATCGTAGTGCTGCGTAAGTGTACATGTATAATAAAGGATTTATAATCGGGGGGAAAAGATGTCGTCTCTGCTGTACCTAACGTAGGAGAAAAACAGAATATTTCCGACGAGAATTACCCTCCCCATCGCGATAGCGAATTCACAGAAATCGGGTCAGGTTTCGTCTGACCAGTCGATTAATTTATCAAGAGTTTTAGTTGCTGAAATGTCAAGCTTTGAAATTAGATTCATCAAATCATTGTACTGGTATCTCTTTACGTTAGTTGGCGTTGTCTCTAAGAATATGAACAATATCTTAAATCTCCTACTATAAGGATTTTAGGTAATTTGAGTTCCGGCAACATTTCGGTTGTAGCTCTAAAAACTATGTAGTTGTAGTGCGGATCTGCTATCCCCCCCCCCCCGCAAGACTTCTAACTGGACTACATAGACAATGTCATTTGACTGTGTGCCAATACATGTTATCGCAATCACTTAGTCATTTGGCGTATGTCCTTCACATGCTTAACGTGTAAACATTTATAGAAGATATATAGGAACTCCTGTCTGCGTTCGTTGTTTTAATTTAAGTTTCAAAAGTATTCTGAAGTTCACATATTTAGTTTTACTAGTGCGGTAGAAAATCGTACGTTGGGAGTCACGGTGATATATGTAACCTTTGGCACTCGTGCCATGAAAATGTAGGTGTACAACCCTTCTCTGTACTCACTTGTAATTTAAGCTTTTGAAAAGCAAGCTGGCTGGCTGGCTGGATTCAACATAGAACTTGGCATCGAAGAGCAGCAGGTCGAGTTGCCACGTTCCAAATAGCACACAAAGGTAGACAAGAAAATGAGCGATGAAGAGAATCAATAGAGTTTTGACAAGTATAAGAGTGAAACAGAATGAGTAATGGTAGAAAGGAATATGAAGGTTAAAGAGACTGAATACATCTGCGCCATTGACAACGATTTTGAGCCATGTCACCTATTGTCTCCAGCCATTGATTCTTAGAGTCCCGAGGGCCCTAACCCGGAAGTCCGCATCTCCCTACCTGACTCAGTTTAACTGTCAGGGATTTCATGGATTGATGCCATGTTTTTGTTTGGCCACCACTTACTCTTTTCAAAAGCAAGTCTCCAAAGTTGCGAATATCCGGTCACTCCGTGTTTCGCTGCTACATGCACGTAATAGCAACACATTATATGCTTTTAAAAGTTTCGTAAAGGAAACGTTTTATTTTGCTGCCATGGCCTTAAGCCCGATTTTATTTTGCTTAGTTTAGATAAAGCAATAGGAAGACGTAATTCGTCTGAATCCTGTAATGTATTTGCGCAACACATTTCAAACAATCTGATCAAACATGGACTTGTCATAAGAATATGTATGAAATTGATAAAGAGTTAAAAAGTGAGAAAATAGACTTAGGTCAAGTTAAAAGGACATATTGAAGGTCAAAATAACAATGAAAACCACTAAACCAAATAACAGAAGTAATAGTACATCTGCTATGGTATCAAAACAAAGTTTACTAATGAAGGTTTAGTGTGATGACGAATTGTTTTTGAACGCATAAAGGTGGTTTAAGCTTTCTAATTTCTAGGGCTTCCACAAACTTTAGGATACTCCCCAAACACCTTTTATAGATAGGTTTAAAAGATGTGTTAACGTCAATTTTATGTCCTGTCTCTATAATATGTTTCGCCATAGAGGAGCTAGGTCTCCTTTCCTCACCATTAATGGGTTCTAAAGATTCTATTTGTTTCTGTAACCATTTAAGAATATGCTTAGTTTGTTGCATAATAAATTTTGAGTAATTTTTCGCAACCCACTTTCAACTCTATGTGCTCTTGCTCCTCAGTACTTGTCTCCAGACAGTTGTTTACCTCCTAGTTAGTTAGTTGACACTGTTGATTACGTAAGGCCATTTGTTAGTTTTAACACTGCTGTATTTTATATAATTTAGTTTATCTTTGTTACTAACTGGTAATAACCACTAACTCTTGTTGGCAATAAAAATACATGGTTTCATAAATAGCTGTACAGCTTGGTGAGAAATCAAAAAATAGACCTATTTGCTACAGTTTCCTTGTTTTTCATAGTATTGAACATACCAGAGCAACGAATGCTCCTGTAAATGTATTTGATCATTCTGTCACCGTCAAACCGTATTTTTCCATTTGTGTGTATTTTATCGTTATATTTACTTGGCTGGTACATTCCTGCACATTCGACGTCGATTAGGTCTGTGTTTAAATAAAAAGTTGCCACTTACCATTTGTATGTGCAGCTGTCATGTCGTTGGATAAACCAGTTGTTTGAAACATTTGTTCTGCATCTCCGAAATACTGATTATATCAGGTTCAAAGTTCATGCAGATATGTCTTGTCTTGTAATCAGAAGCATTTAATAAGTAATCGCAATATCCGGTGTCGGTACTTACCTTGGAGACCTCAAATTTAATATGTAGTTGAATGTATTATGTATAATATGTAGTTAGCTGTAGACGCAGCTGCAAAAAATGTCAATAACATAGAACCAAAAGTTAGTAAAAGCGAGTGGATTTCTACTGTTTCATCCGAACTGATTAACGCAATAAGACTGAATCCAGTGAGCTCCGAATATGATGAGGTTGATGAAACGCAAACTGACAAGAAGTCTTCTCAACGACCCTCAAAAGTAGTAGGCAACAAAAGCGAAAGATATGGAAAAGGCATCGGCGACAGGTAACACCAGACAACTGTTTAAACTTATTAGAGAAACAGGTGGCAAAAGGCAAATAATAAGTGAAACAATCTCCGAGTAAAAATGGTATCATAAATAGCTCTTAAGATAGACGACTGGAACGCTCGAAAAAACACTTTTAGGAGCAGTTTAACTGGCCTACAGCCACGCTCAACTTACCCAGTATCCAACACCTCCCTAAATGAATGAGATATAAACACCGGTCCTCCGTCCCTAACCCTAAATGAGGCTACGAAAGCTGTCACTAATCTGAAACGAGGCAAAGCTGCGGGACCTGGTGGAATGACTCCAGAGGTGTTTAAGAACGGTGGAGACAATTGACTGTCTGCGTTAGCCAAGGTGCTTAGTAACGTCTGGGAATCGGAGTTAGTCCCGCTGGGCTGGTGTGGGTCATTGATTATCCCGAAATACAAGAAGGGAGGTACATTTTCCTGTGATAATCACAGGGTGATTAGCTTGACCAATACGGTATCTAAAGTTCAAGGCTCAGTAATCATGCGTAGGCTATAAGTGGTGCTCGATAAGAATAAAGACGCGAGAACCAGGCAGGCTTTAGAGCAGGAAGAGGGTGTATTGATCATATCTTCATCCTTCGACAGATTCTGGAACGCAAGTGGATTACTTACCGGCGTCCAACAACCGTCATATCTCTTGACCTGAAGGCGGCATTTGATTCCCTCGACCGAGAGGTATTATGGCAATGTTTGGATGTGAAGGAAATGCTGAGGAAATACATCGCACTGATCAAAGCACTCGCTCTACTCGAACTCATGCAGCCAGTCAGCTAGGAGCCTACGGAGGGTTGTCATCTGAAGTGGTGACAACCAGGGGTATCCAACATAGTTTCCCATTGTCCCCATTTCTGTTTAACTTCATCATAGATGTACTAATGGACATAACCCTGGCTGACTTCATTAACTCAAGGATTGACTTGTTACCACCAGGGAATAATCTCGTTGACTTAGAATATGCAGATGACAAAGTCCTGCCTCCTTGGTGAAGATTGTCAAAGTGCAGAATCTTCTGAACACTTCAAGCACTAGCAATCTTCGAATGTTTGACATACAATTCACTATTTTTGATTTTTTATATAAAAAAACTTGTTTTTCCGGATTACTATTCTTTTTACCTGACACATTTGTTAATTATCTGTCTATCGAACCTCCCTTTACTCTCTTCTCTTCGTTTGTATACTACATAGTGTGGTGACTCAAACTGCTGCACATCTGTGCAAAGTTTTGTGTGAAAACCAGTTAGTCAGTTAGTATTGTATGCATGTTAGCCGGTTTATATTGCTACGATTTACATATGTATAATCATTTTACTGGATTATGAGGAACCCATAAACTGAACGAAATAAATATATCTTTAGTAACCATATGTAAATTTTTTTTGTTCATCACGTTTAATTTAAACGATTTAGCCACGTACAACCGTACTCGGTAATGAAGACGAAGAACATCAGAGGAGATTTCGTGAAAAGCGGAAGCAACATTATAATGAATTTTTGGCTGTGAAGTTAGCGAAAGAAAATTTACGTAATGACGACGATGATGAAGAAGTGGAGGAGAAGAATGAAGATGAAGAAATCGAAGATGATGAAGAAATCAGGCATAATGTAGAACAGGCAGCAATTAATGCTCGCCTAAATGCGGAACTTTCCCGCTTGAGCAGAAGTTCAGCTGATCAATCGGTGGATAATAGCATTTCAAGAGTTGAGAATTCTTCGAAGAACTCACGGCTGAGACATGCTAGACCCTAAGGGATTTTATTAAACGTATTTTCGCTCTTTATGTACAGATTATCGCTTGTGTCTTCATCTAGTTTGCTCAGTTTGATTAATAATACTTTGTAATTCTGTGTGTTTTGGAAGTGTTTATACTTGCCGGTTTAATGCAATGCCATCTAGTAACCTATCATTACAAAATTGTTTAATTGTTCCAAGTTGAATCTGTACCTTATGTGCGTTTATGGAGTTAGAAGCATGATATCTTTATATTCTAAGAATATATTCCTTTGCTTACTTAGTCTTTCTGAATGCGCTTAAAATACACGGAATTGAAATCGATAAAATTGTTATTTCAACTTAACGGATCATTCTCATCTAATGGTATTAATTTCGTCGTAGCAGCAATCAGCTAAATGTTTTAATAATTTCGGCGGGCCGTCTTTTCGCAGATCACTGTTTTTATAGTGTTCATTAACAATTCCTTGATTTTCTAGTGAATTACCACAGGTAGGTGTCAGTAGTACACTTCAGCAGATTCACCTCAGATGCATAAATCTTCAAAACATTTTAATGTGCGTTGGTGGCACAGTGGTTAGGACTCTCGCCGACCATGCACATGGTCCAGCGTTCGATCCCCTGCCGACGCACACCTGATATCTATGGTCGGCCTGCAAAATTTGGGCTACCGATATCACATGCTGAAAATTCCATACCTGTTCCAAAAAATACTCTGTGGAATCAAGCTGTAATCTAAAATTAAAAAAAAATTGATGTCACACAGTTAGTAATACAAAGAAGACGGTGATTTCCTATAGTTGAAATGCAAAGATCCTTTGGTGTAATCCGTAGTGTGCATTAATCATCAGCAGTTCTCTGTATTCTTTAGCAACTGCTGTAAATAGGCGTCAAATAAATTGACTTTAGGGAAATAAGTTCCACATTGCAAACAATGAAGAGATCACGTTGCTCTGAGAGTATGTAATTTTCGAGAGCTGCATTAAGTCCAGTTGTGAAATCTCCACCCATTCAGAGAGAACCGTTTGTTTCCATAGCAAGCATCATAGGAAATACGTATGCAGAGTACGATCTTGGTGTGATAACACGTTGTCCAGTACATGCAATCTCATCATCGGTTTTTATTAATGAAGCATGTGGCACAGATCCTTTTAGTCGGAAATCGCATGCTGTACCTTGAAGGTGTAAAAAAGCTCTGGTACAACTAAGATCAGGATTGGAAACATTTGGAAAATGACTAATGTCAGTAAACATACATGAGTTTGGGATTTGATTACACAGTAGTTAGTGGTAATTAAAGGTTCTTGAACTAACCAATAACTACAGGAATTAGTTTCATACCGCTGAGATAACAGATTGCCTTTGTAGTAGTATTGCGAAAGGAAAGTGTTGAACAGATGTTAACTGCTCGTTATTAACGACATGTACTGGTAGCAGTTTACCAAGTCTTCTGATCAGGGTCTCGTCCGATTTGGGATCATAGCTATCTGAAGATAATGGTGATATCTGATGTCATATATACCTTTAGTCTCACTGGTTTATATTCCCGTAGACACTAATAAAACTTCAGCAGACATTCTCATAAGCTGTCGAGAACAGGTTCTACTGCGATATTGGGGAGAAGACCGTTGTGCGTGTTACTGGCAAAAGCGTCTTTGTGACCAATAGTGTTGTAGTCTCCACATCGATGTGACGAAATCCCGAGGACTACAATGTTAGCAGGTTGGTAGACCAGTCTTCTTGGAACTTTGGTTGATATCGCGTTCGTAACTGGGATGATGGAGTGGGGGCAGAAGGCAAAGTCAGCATGTGAAATGTTTGACGATGTGCACGTAGTTCAGGATCAATCTGGCATCCGAGCTGAAATAAAGCCGCTGAATGTTTGTCAATTGCTGATATTCATCAGAATTATCACTTAGTGTTACTGCTGGATCATGTTCAAAGTATTTCAGCAATTTTATTCTTATGTCAGCGAACTTATGTGACTTCAGTATCGCTGATTTGAACTAACCATCCGTCAAAGACTTCAGTTTGAATCGTTCACATTCATGGTTAACGATATCAGCGTACTTGAGGAAATCATCACCTTCATTCATGATTATCTTCAAGCAGCTATATAGAGAATTAAAGAGGGATGAGTGGTCAATGAAGTGTTGTCTCAGTGTCGAAGGTGCGGTCACCTGCGTTTTGCGACAGAATCATATTGCAATATCAATAAAATTCGGATAGACCTAGTTTTTTATGTACTTTCCAAAAACCACCTTGTCCCACAAAATCAACTTTGAAATGGTCTTCGTAGCGCCTGCGTGCAGTATCATATGTAACGCTAGTATCAGAGTGACAATGGAATTCAATAGTTTCTATTCAACAGTTCCATCCATTAAAGAGTCTGTTACAACCGAAGTAGCATGACATGATTTGACACACCACTGAATGTTTGATGGTATTCACCTCCTCTTCAAGGAAGCTCTCCAACTTCGAAAAATTCAACTTTCCTATAACTATATATGTTCATAAGGAACAAAAAGACAGTTGCAGCGAAGAAAATTTTCTTTTCGACGAAGTCATCATCTAGGCTGTACCTTCGTGTATTTATATCAAATGGATGGGAAAGTTCCAGAATAATTTCTGGTTAGGGGTCAAATTAATAAAAATTACAATTAGGAATTAGAATGCCATAAGAAACAGGGGGATGGGTAAAACTCGAACAAAGTAGCATTATAATAACTAAGAAGATTGACATTGTGCAATTGGGGGTTAGAAATGTAAAAATAACAAAATATACAGGATGTTTGGATAAAAAACTAGTGTGATGAATAATTGTTTATGCAATCAGGGATTAAATATGTAGAAATAGTAAGATGACAAACAGGAAGTGTGGATATGAAAATATGGTAGTGTAGACAGGGATTGAGAAAACTTAAAATAACATGAATAAATAGAAAGTTTAGATAAGAAAGGCGATGAGATTGTCATTACTAAAAAAATTTACCTGTTTATGATGGCCATGGCAGGAACAGGGGTTGGACGTATTTCTTTTGGATACAAAGAGTGGGTTTGAGTTTTTGGATAGCTAACGCCTCAGCTATGCCCAAATGTCTTGATTTCACTCCCTTTGATAGGTTTGATTGAATCTTGTATATTACTTTGAAGGATTTTTCGAAAGGCGCTGAATGTCCTGAGTTGACCAGATGTTCTGTCACTGGACTGTATACACGTTTTTGGTCTCCTTTTACTAGATAGGCTGGGTAGTGTTCGCGAGTGCGTTTTCAAAGTCGGCGCATGGTACGGCCGATGTACTCAGCTCCACAAGAGCAAATAAACTGGTATATACACGTTGAGGTGGCCCAATGCGAAGGCTTGTCTTTCGCGTTCTGGTTGAACAGTTTCTTACAGGAAAACGTCAGTCGTAGGCTTGCGGCGAAGTATGTTTTCCTCAGCGATTTGGAGAGGCGTTTGCGAAGGATTTCTGCTTCAATATCACCTTTGAATTCTAGATGAAGCAGAAGTATTTTCTTTGGAACGGATTGGACTTGTTCGGAAGTCTTCATAGGTTTGAGGTTCTTGTCTATGAACCTGGGCGGGAAACCATTTTCCATCAGGGTTTTTCGGAGATTACGCAGTTCTTCTTCGATCACTTCCTTGCTGCATATCTTCCGAATCCTCGAGGAAAGAGCGCATATCAGGTTCCTCTTTCTGCTTAGTGGTACGAAGCTTTGAAAGTTGATGAATTGTCCAGTCCATGTAGGCTTTCTGTATATGGACATTTTCAAAGAGTTGTTGTCATTTCTTGTCAGATGGACGTCTAGGAAGTGGAACATTCCGTCGGATTCAGTCTCAAGTGTAAAGTCGATGTTTGGGTAGGCGTTGTTGAAGATTTGAAGTAAGTTTTCAAGGTCCAGCTTCTCATCACAAATGATGAAAGTATCATCAATGTATCTCTTGTAGAGATGAAGGTCATCGATAGTTGATGATAAGGGGTTGTTTTCGAGGCTGGCCATAAAACAGTCGGCTAGGAGTGGTCCGAGTGGAGAGCCCATTGCTACGCCATCTGTTTGCCTGTAGATTTCATTGTTGAATCTGAAGTAGACGTTGAAGGTGCAACGTAGTAACAGCTCCTTTAGATAATGCGTCGGTATGCCGATATCTAAAAGTTGTCGATATACAACCTCCGCGACACATTCGATTTCGTGGATTCAATTAAAAATGTCAACCTCGCAAATAAAGGATGGTCTATATAGACGTCGTCTCTCTGTTCACCAATGTTCAACTGACAGAAACTATATGCTTTCTGTGTGACTTCATCCAATGCAACAACATAAATGTCGGCATACCGATGCATTATCTAAAGGAGCTGTTACTACGTTGCACCTTTTTGTCATCTTACTATTTCTACATATTTAATCCCTGATTGCATAAACAATTATTCATCACACTAGTTTTTCATCCAAACATCCTGTATATTTTGTTATTTTTACATTTCTAACCCCCAATTGCACAATGTCAATCTTCTTAGTTATTATAATGCTACTTTGTTCGAGTTTTACCCATCCCCCTGTTTCTTATGGCATTCTAATTCCTAATTGTAATTTTTTATTAATTTGACCCCTAACCAGAAATTATTCTGGAACTTTCCCATCCATTTGATATAAATACACGAAGGTACAGCCTAGATGATGACTTCGTTGAAAAGAAAATTTTCTTCGCTGCAACTGTCTTCTTAATAACTATATTTGTTTTTCCCTAATTTATTCATTGGTAGGAAATCGAATAGTTGATATGGATTCTTATGTCAAATGTCAACCACTGAACTAATGAGCATACATTTCATTTATTCAGAAGAAGCGTATCTCACAAAAGAACTGCACACTGTTCATTAAAATGCGTGCTGTTGAAAGTTTTCAT